CCTTTTTTAATTTTTTTTTTATTTTAATTTTTAATAATTTCATTATTATCAACATCAAATCTGCTGATTGCCACTTTTATAACAGATACGGATGAAGATCTGGAGAGGGAAAAAACGCTATAACCTATCTAATTATTATTTACAGAACAAGTAACATTAAAAATTATAAATAAACACCATTAATAAAATACATAAAACTGTGTTTGATTTCTAGTATAACGTATATTGCGTAATTATTTAACGAGCAAATAAAGAACAAAAAATATGCTTTCTCACAATTCAAAAGATAAAGAACATATTTAAAGATTGAGGTTGCACTTTTTAGATAAAATATTCATATTTTAAGCTGTAATATTGAAATAACAGTGCGTCAGGGAGCTGTGGAGGGGACTCGGGGTGTGACCTGAGTCTAGTGCAACCTGACGCGTACGGCTGTCAAACACTACGCATCAAACATCACTCAGCTCCACTTTATAAATTTTCACTTATAAAACTTTTTTCCAAAAATCTCCACTTATAAACAAAATTAACCTGTGCCACTTTATAATTTCACTAACTAATCTATAAATAGTGTTGCACAAATGCGAGACCGAGACGAGTCTTGGTCTTGCAAAGTCAGTCTTGGTCATGGTCTTGCGCAAGAGTCTCGCAACAGTCTTGCATTCACTTATTAGCTTATTACTATGGAGATATTACAGTAATTTTTTAAACAGGAAAAACTTAACTAAGCCCGAATGAAAAATTAGAGGATTTGAATGTAAAAGTATATTGGTTATACCAATTATTAACATATAGCAACTAATATTGTGGAGTATTAGTAACTATTTTGTCTTAATTTCTATTTAAAAAATCGATTTTCTCTACCAGTCCGGCTCTTCGCGGCCTTGGTCTTTATCTTGCAAAGTACAAGACCAAGACCGATTTAGGGCAACACTAGCTATAAGCTTATTGTAATTTAAAAACCTTATTGTATTTTTAACATATATTATATCTGTTAACTCTTCTTTCTGTGATCTTGTAATAGTAAATATAAACCACTTAAGTTTTTTAAGTTTGCAGTTTCTTCTTCTAATTGTAAATATATCTAGTATTTTTTAATCTTCTTTTAATCTTTAATTTCAATGTTTTGTCAACTTTTTTTCTTGTAGTTTTTAATATTTAAGTTGTACTTTTAACTTTTCTTCTTTTAAAATTAATTTTTAGGTTTTATAAGGTATTTTTTTGCTTCCACTAACTTTAATAAATTTATATAATAAATTTTCACTTATCGATCCTTTAAATGTGAAATGAGCATTCTAACAAAAAAAAACTCACTCAATAATAATGAAAGAGAATTTAATCTTGTTTAGTCTTGTCTTTGTGTGATTTACTAAACTTCATATTTTATAAATAAATTAAAAAATTGAAACAGATAATCAAAGAAACTGGCGGATCCGGGAGGTTCCCACACACGAATTAATAATTAAATAATATTAGGTTCTTAAAGAACATTGTTGTATAAATAACTCAAATAAATAACGCATAGGCTTAATGATCGAAGAAAAAGTTCAATTGAGGTGACTTGAAAGTGACAATTGAATATCGGAATTAGACAATTGAGTGCAAGGTCAATAATAATGTATACTCTTTAAATAAAAACAAATATTTTAGTAGGAAATAAAAATAAATAATCGTTTACTTAATTCTGATTAGGTGTAGCATTTCAAACAAAATATTAAGTTGAGGTACTAATTTAATAAAAATTTAACGTTCTTTAATAATTCAAAGAATAACTTTTTTGCTTTGAAGCACTAAAAATAAATCCTAAAATATTCCTCTGAGGGAGTCCGTGTTACCATTTTTGTCTTTTTACTTTCACTTACCTATACATGAAATATATAATAAAGGACAGTACTGCGATCGTGAAAATTTTCGAATCTGAATTTTCAACGGAAATACATGTTTTGAGTCTCGCAAAATGGTCTGTTTGTGTGTATGTGGCAGGTATTGTTCAAAAACAAGTCGCATGAAAGTGAAATTGCATATTTAAGTTTTTATATACCTCAGATGTTACCGCAACTTTTTCGTCAAAATCGGCAAACTGGAAAAGGCACTTTATATCATGGATGAAACACATTTTTACTATTTCTTGAAAACGGCTCCAACTATTTGGATTAAATTTATTATATCAGTGTAAAATTAAGAATTTTTGAATAAAATATAATTAATGTGAGCTTAATATAATACGAACTCCGACAATATTATGTTCATATAAATATGAGGTTTTCCTAAATGTTTTCGTTGGTATTATTTAATATTTATTTGCATAAATTACAGCAATATAAATATTAAAATTTTTATATATAAGGATACTTAAACAAATAAAAATATTCACAATGAAATATAAATCAATATAGCGCTTATAATTTTTACTTTCACTTCCCCTTTGTCTGAAAATAATTATTTCTGCTAAGAAGAGAGTGGTAAGTGAAAGTTGTGTGATGCGTGCACCCCACCAGATTTTATATGCTTGCAAACATTTATGAAAGTTAAGAAATGTGATTACCACATTTTTTTTTATGCAACATTACAATCATTTCGAACTTTACCTGTCTGGTCTAAAATGTTTGAAATAAGTTGCTTTGGAATGGCAAGGTATTAATTAATCAATCCATCCATTTTCGCTATTCGTATTTAAATCTTATCCTGTTGAGTACCATCTTTAGATCCTCACTCTAGATTTTGATCAATCCCAAAAAAATTGTTGATATTTGGTTTTTAATAATCAATAATAAAAACCAACTGTTAACTGGAAAAAAGTAATTAATACACATAGATGATCTTATACCAATGTGGCGATAATATCGATGTTCGACTTTCATGGTTTTTAACATGGTTTGAAATCGATAATTAAAAAATAAAGAATAAAATCTGATTAAAATTTTTATCAAATATGTTTTTCTTGTTACGCTTAAATTATAGACATTTATGTCCTGAATAGAAATGATGAGGAAAATAAAAATCATTATGTAAAAATTCTGACGTTTTTAAATAATGATAACATCGAACTAAAAATAAGAAAAGTCGACATTAAAATTGTAAACAGTTATCGATTGCGGAACTAACTCAAGGACTTGTTAGTAATTTGAATTCCATTCATTGTTTGAAAAAAATTTCATGAAATAATTCTTTAATATTCTTCTCAGGAAATTAACATTATGATTTTTTTTCTATTATTTATGAAATTCACAACTGTATACAAATTAATATACATTCAATAAATGTGATGCAGAGAAATATATGACATACCAAGGCTTGTAGAGAATCTACCCAATGGTAGATGGATAGAAAGCATTCTAATAAAATATCTAAGAAGCATAGCCTTAAAGGCGAGGAAATAAATAAATAAATAAATAATTAGAGTTATCGAAATTAAATAAAAAATGGTTCAATTTTTTTTTCTTTATTATCTAGAAAATATTATTGTAATTATGGTTAAAAAAAGATAAAAATATGAGTCGTTTATTTCCAAAGTGTACCCTAATTATTATTGTCAATCTTTCGGGAAACTTGAAAAATTCTATTTTCTTTTTGAATATAAAAACCGATATTTAAAAAAAAAAAAAAAAATTAAGAAATTCTTCATTTGTATAGCATATTTTCCAAAAATCACTGATTATTCCAGTAGTAATTAGAAAAAAAAATGAAACTTGAATAAGGCCCCTTTTAGAATAAAATAAACTTCAAAAATAGTGTATGTTTTGGGAGGAAATTTTATAAAAAATATATTTAAAACACAATGCTTCCCTATCTTCGGTAGTGGGGAAGCAAAAAACTAACTCTTTGTTTACAATAATAGCAGAATCAAATAAGTTTTTATTTCCCTATCATTTGAGAAAAATTATGAATTTTTTTTTTTAAGAATCCTTAAGAAATACAAAGTTCACTACGTTAATTGAAAAAATACATAATGTATCGTATAAACGAATTTAAAGATTTTGTCGAAACTTAGATAAATTATTCTCCACAAAACTCTTTAAATTTATGTAAGATACTTTCCGAAAAGAAACTTGACAAAGAAGTTAAAGAGAATATAATTAAAGTGATGTAAAAATTAGATTTCCGAATAACCCAAAAAGTATACGAAATTTCCTAAAAATTTCATAGATATGATCATTGCAATGGGTAGAAAAGGATGTATACTTTTTGAATTATTCACAAATTAAGTTTATTTTCATTTATATATTTTTCCCTGAAATTTCGAGGGGATGTGACTATTTTTCAAAACCTGAAAGAGAATATCTAAATGAGTGCTCAATCATTGGATTTGATGAAGAATTGAAGAAGGTATGGCGTACCAACAAAAAAACACCTAAGGGAAATATATCCTATATATTATTTCTAAAAGGTGTTTTTTTGTCGGTACGCCATAACTTCGTCAATTCTTCATCAAATCCAATGATTGACCACTCATTTTGAAGATATTCTTCTACTTCACATGCGAAAAATAGTCTCATCCCCCTGAAATTTCTGGAAAAAAGTTATGGAAGAAAAGAAATTTTATTTGTGAATAACTCAAAAAGTATGCATTTACCTACAAAACAAACAAAAACCGTAAAAATTGAACAATTATTATCAAAGATACAGTCCATTAGTTTTTCTATACTTAATAATGTATTCTTCTTTAAAGATATTGCATTTAGGAGTAGAATAGTATACTACGCTTTTTTTCGTGCCTGATATATTAACTTTATTATTTCTTAAAGACATTTGGTTGTTCTTACATTTTATTTTTTTTAATAATTTAGAAAATCCTATGATCGGGGCATTATTTTGTCTTTATTACTTTTATTATCTTTCCAGTCAGCGTTTAAAAATAGGTCCTAGCAAAGCAATTTGTACAAATATTTTGGTCTATTATGTTAAATGGAATATTGTAATCGACCAAGGAAAAAATATTAATTCCTTCCTTACATAATACATACGAACTACTTATTTCCATATTGTTTTGCTATTTTTCAGTAAACAAAATTTTCTGCGAATTATTCGCACGGGCCAACTAGTATATAATGATCGTTTTTGTCAACCTTCCTCATACTAATCTTAAAGTTTTAATTTTAATTGTTTTGTTTTTTTTTACTTTTCTTCTTGTAATTTCTAATTTGTTATTTTAAGTTGTACTTGGTATCCTTTATTATTGTAATCTTTAACATTTAATTTTACGTTCTTTTGTGTAACTTCTCTTCATCTAATTCATAAATTTTAATTTTAATTACACTTGTATTTTAACTTTTCTAACTTTAATTTAATCGTACTTTTATATTTAACTATAAGTATTATTTAACTTTTTAAATTTATGGTAAAAAAATTGTAAAATTGTATTAGGTTTCTGTAGTTATGTTATTTGTATTTTAGTAGTAGTTAATTTTATAATTGTGATACAGGACGAAAATGTCCCAGGTGGTCTAAAACATATTATAAATAAATGAATATACTTCTGAATATTTGGAAAATATATAAAATAAATTATAATAATAATAATATTATAATTAAAAATGTTTTATCGATAAAAATGGTTGATATTAGAACTAAAGAGAGTTGAGTTATCGTAGACCAACCTAGGACCTGCTGCGCCGCAGAGATCGCCGCAAAGACCCAGAGGCAGCTGAAGAAGAGGATAGACATGGCGATGACTGGGACACGGCACTGACCCCCTCCGGACTGAGGCCGTCTTATATAGGCGCCCCCCACCGCGATGTCTTCGCTTCCAGCTGGTCATGTCTTGAGGGACGACTATCGAGAACAGAGAGGGTATGTTAGGGGGTTAGGAGGATATGCGAGGGGTTGGAGTAATCTATTTGAAAAAAAATATTCAAGCCCGGATTTCGGATTCGGATTTCAATGCATATATATATATTTTTTTTCTTTGTATCGGTTTATTGAGAAATAATACATTTGGCCAAACTTAAGGGCACTGAGTACACTTAGGCTGAGTGAAGCACATTCATACCATATATACAATACAATAAGAAAAAAATATGAATAATAATAATAAAGAAATATACATCTATATAACAAAGGAAAAAACTATAATAAACCAAGGAAATGTAACTTAGAGTTAAAATTAAATAAAATGCAGAAATTCGTAGCAAAATTAAATAAATTATAAGTAAAAGAAATAAATAGAAAAACATTCATACTTAATTACAATATTTCAATCCTTTCAGTCTAAAGTCCTACGTACAATAGTCGATGCTCCCTTCTATGTCACCAATAAAACCCTGCATAATGACCTTAATATCCCATTTATTCTTGATCTTATCCCAGCCAAATTTTCCAAATTTCACCAGAACCTTTCTCATCACCCAAATCCCGTTGTACAATCCCTATCAAGCACCACCCATCCCTACAATCCCCTTCGTAGGTTAAAGCGGCAGTGGCCACGAGACCTTTTGTAAATATGGATATTTTGGAGTTCTAGCAATGGCCAGATTCTCCACTCAAGTCATGAGTGTCTGTGGCTGTAGCGCTCTTACTCATCCTCCGCTGGTTTTAAATACCAGTGAAGTGGCTGAGGGAGAAGCGTAGGGATCTCCTAAGCCTCGCTTTTCCCTCCACATGTGGGGGGACAAGATTGGTTCGGAGATCACCTGGCTAATTGTAAATAGTGTATATGCTTGTATCTAAGATGTTTGTTTTACTTTTATTTCTATTTTTACTTGCTTAGGTATATAGATATATTTTTTCTCTTTTGTTCTTTTTTTCTTATTCTTTTGTTATTACTTTATTTATTTATATTTCTGTATATACGGTATGAATGTACTCTCTTAACTCTATATTATAAGTGTCCTTAACTGTGACAGATTGTAATATTTCTCAATAAAATGCTATATAAAAAAAAAAAAAAAAAAAAAAAAAAAAAAAAAAAAAAAAAAAAAAAAAACAATTACAATATTTACATTCAGGCAAGAGATCTCCGAGTCCAGCCCTTTTCCCCACGTGTGCAGGACAAAGCGAGACTTTAAGAGATCCCAGCGTTTCTCTCTCAACCGCGTCGCCGGCATTACCAGTCCGGTGGAGACTGAGAGAGGGCACTAAAACCACAAACAGACTGGAGTGGAGAAGCTTCATTACGTCCATTACCAGAACTCAGGAAAAGGCGGATAGTAATGTCGATGAAGGAGGATCATTCTCGGGTGACTTCTGGTTTTATATCAAAATTTGAAAAAACATCGGTTCAGTAGTTTCTGAGAAAATGCACGGACAAAAAAAATTTATTCGTTTTTCGAATTCTACGTATTCTGAAACGTAAAACCTCAAATTTTGAGAGGAGGTTAACTTTTTGAATTTTTTGTTCGATTGCAATGATTCATTATTGAAAATAATAAATCAAAAGTGTAGAATTTTTCACAAGCTACAAACTAAGGAAATATTTATGTCACTTGTTAGATTATTACCCTGAGCTCTTTGGCTGTAAATTTAAATAATAAAAAAAAAAAAGGTTACAGGTTACTTCTCATGTATACAAGTAAACATAAATATGTATATCTATATAAATAAAATAAATATTTTGTCCGTACATTGAATAGAATCAACCCGTTTTATGATATCTTTCCGTTTCATACATTGCAGACACCAAATCCACTTTTAAAAATTTTATTGTCTGTCTGTATGTCCGCATTGCTACAAAATTTTGTCAGGGGTAATCTCAGCAATGGCTTATTGTAGACTTTTGAAATTTTGACATTATATTAAGGTTTACTTGACTTAAAACATAGGCTTTAAATGAAAACAAAATATTAAATAGAACCAGAGTTATGAATTCTTGTGTAATTTGTCTAGAGATCCCGGTTAGGCAGTTACTTCGATTCTCATCCCAACCTACTCTACCGCGAGCCATATTTAACAGTTGTACTATTAAACTGATGGATAATATTATCACAACTCAACGGGGAAAAATACTAAATACCAAACATCTGTAACACGTTGTCGCTTAAAACACAGTTATTTAATTTTGGGGTGTGTTTCAACGCGAATGCTTTATATATACATACATATATATATACAAGATACAAGATATATATATATATATATATATATATATATATACAAGATTTACCATTATAACAGACCTCAAGAGGTACAAAAAAGTTCATATAATCAATGGGCCAATTTTCAGCTGAAAAGTAGTAAATCCAAGTGTTGTAGTTTATGAAGTGTGTCATATTTTTTATTGAATCGAAAGCAATAACTAAAGGAATTTTTAATTTAAATAATAATTAATTGCTTCATTGTAGACAAGATGAAATTTCAATTTGAATGAACATAGAGTTTATCATTGTTAAAACCGTTTACAGATGACTTTTGAACGGCTAAAATAAGCTATGTTCTGTTTTTAGGAAAATCATAAATTATTCTCCTTTTTTTTTTATTATAAAATATTTTTGGATAAATCGGTTATAAACTGTGTTTTTCACCCAGATCTCTATTATACGAATTGGTATTTATTTTTACAATACAAAAAACTTGCTAATTGCTTCTATTGTTTTAATTAAAACGTAAATATTAGGATCAGGAACATTTAGTTTGTCACTTATAAATATGAATCAATTCCTAAAATAGAGACATGGGTGAAAAATACAATTTATAATCGATATACATACCAGATTGAAACGACAAGAAACATCTCGACGATTCCGATTACTTCAGCACTTACTAGACAAACACTCTAGCCTTCCAATTAATTACAAAGGACTCAAATAAATGACTATAATAAGGCCTATTTGGACTTACGGAGATGAGCTGTTGGGGCTCCATTAAACCATCGAATTCCTCTCGTATCCAATGCTTACAATCCAAAATCCTTCGTAAATCCTCAATGCTCCCTACTTTGTTACAAATAAAACCATCCATAATGACCTTAATGTTTCTTATGTTTCCGATCTGGCCCAATCCAGATACCTATCCTTCCATAATAAACTTCAGAATCATCCCAACCCTCTCGTTTCTAACCTTGCTTCCTATTCAATTCCTGATAACCCTCCGAGGCGTCTGAAAAGAAGATGGCCCCGTGATCTCCTAATGTAGACATATCATTAGAGTGCTACCATTGGGTAGTTACTCAGCAAGTGTTTTCATGTCATTATATCCATATGTTCAAATTTACTAGATGTATTTCTTTAATACAGTTGTGAATATCATTAAGAAATAATAAAAAATAAAAAAATAACCGATTTACCGGAAAAAAATATTGGAAAAAGCAGTTTATTAGTATATCAGTTTATTTTAATAAATAAAATGTGTGTTTAGAAAATTGGGTTTATTAAAATACATCCCACATCATGGAAAAATAATAAATAAAACCTTTGTAACAGTTAATTGTAGTCATTTTTACTAAAAATAGAGGTACTTTTATCTGACAGGATTTTTTTTTTACGATATTTGATGTGAATCTCAAATCTTTTCCTAATAAACCTTATCTTAATTAATACGAAATCAAAGCTTACTAAACGAAGAATCTTTTGTGAAAGTGGGAAAATTTTAGTATAGTTGGATAATGATAAAAAAAATGGTGAATAATTGATGATTTTTCTAAAGAATTAGCTTAGTTTAGCCTTTCAATAAACCTCTTTAAATGGTTTCAAAAATGACAAACTCTCTGTTCAATTAAAGTAAATTTTGTCTAGTTTACAGTGAAGTAACTGTTAATTACTTTTTTTTTTTTTTTTTTTTTTTTTTAATCCGTAATCGCCTCTACCCTAGAGGGTCATTGGCGGCTAGTTTTCTATATTCTATTGTAATGTTTCGTCTCTATTAAGTATCGCAGTAGGGTGGTGACTCTATCTTCGTTGTCTCTCAGTATCTCTTTTATTGTTGTTGGAAGTTTCAATTTTTGCCGAATGTCGTTGAACTCGTGGCACTCTACTAACAGGTGTTTTACTGACTGCGGTTTATTGTCACACTTTTCGCACGTGGGTGGTTCTAGACCTCTGAGAAGGTACCCGTGGGTAAACAGGCAGTGACCAATTCTTATTCTACACAATATGGTTTCTTCTCTTCTGGATATTCTGGTGCTAGTAGCCCACTTGTTGCAGTCTCTTTTTATTTCTAATAATTTTGACTTTTCAGTTTTCCATCTATTTACCCAATTTTCCAATAACTTCTTTTTAGTTGCGTGAACCCAGTCCTCCACTGTGGTACAATCTATTGAAATTATGGTTGGTGCCTCTCCCTTCCTTGCTAAGTTAGCTGCTCGGTCTGCTCTTTCATTGCCTGTGATGCCACAATGAGATGGAACCCAGACAAATATCACTCTGACCGTTCTTTTTTTTAATTCCCACCATAGATTCAATATATCTCTTATAATTGAATTGCTTGGCCATGGGTTACCAATTGCTGTCACGACGCTTTTGGAATCTGATGCTATTATCCATTGATTGTCATTGGAATTTGATATCCAATGGAGGGCCTCCATGATCGCAGTAGCTTCTCCGGTAAATATGGAGCTCTCTCCAGGTAAGCTAAACAGAAGTTGGTGTTGGTTTTTATTAATATTTACAGCGCAGCCAACACTATTTTCCATTTTGGAGGCATCGGTATATATCACATTATATCCTTCGTATTTCTCCAATAATTCAAAAAAGTAGTTTTGGATATCCAGTGGGTATTCCTTGTTACGTCTTGTCATTGATACATCTACAGTCGGTCTACAGTTCTTCCAGTTAGGGATTTTGAGGTTAGGGATGCGTCTAATTGTGTTCAAATCCATGTTCACATTATATAGCGTTTTATAAATCATTTGTTTAAATATGCTCTCCTCTATCTCCTGAAGTCCTC